ATAGCCATAGAGACTGAAGTTGAAGTTTATAACATAGCTGAGGATGTGAAGTTGTTGTTGCCCGTTATTTATCACTATGTTCGACAAAATGGAGGAAGTGCACACGAAAATGCCCGTTAAGGAATACCTGACTAACGGCCTCTCTGTTATCAAAGCTGAGGTCCCTGATGTCAAGGAGTTGTTGAACACCGTACAGACTGAAGCTAAAGCCAATACTAAAGTTGTAGCTGCTCTCGCCAACAAAGTTGATGAAGTCTAGGATCAACTTATAAGGCATGGTGAGATCCTCTAACAAATCTTCCAACTCCTCCAGCAACCGACGCCAGTCCTTAAGCCTGCTTTTAGCAACGTTGACCATTAACAGTCGGATCGGGTTGCTGCCTTCAATATTCTGCAAGTTGAAGTTCTCTCTTCCTTAGAGCACAAGCTAGAAGACCTCACCTCTCATCTTGATGACCTATTCTCTCATCTTATTGATAATGACAGAAATGGGGAGAAAAATGTTGTGGAGGAGACTGCTGAAGAAGCTGTTGAAAATGCTACTTTGATCCCCTTAGCAAATGCAAAAGATCTGAACGTTGCTACTGAGGATGCCAGGGAATCTCTCCCTAATGCCATCGACGATGATGAAGATGATTCCATGGTCGTTCCTGCAGATCATGAAGACCATCCCTCCACTTCTGCATTGCCAAATGTTGGTGATGAGGATGATGAAGACGATGAACCTCAACTCCCTGATACCGACAATGATCTTGGTGGTGACAACGATGATGATGAATTCTGGGTCCAAGTCATCCTAAGATGACCAGCACTGAAAGGAATCTCTATCTGGGAACCAGCTTCCTAATAAGAAAAAAAAACGTCAGGAATAGGGAACCAGCACTACAAGGATAAAGGCAAAGAAGTGGCTGAAGACAATCTCGCCATCGTTCTAAGGGCAATCAGTCCCTCTGAGATTACAGAATCTTACAGGTTTGTATCTTCTACCTTAGATACTGAAAGCTTGTATCTTCTATTCTTCCAATTCTCTCTGCATCAACAACCCCTCCTGGTCTCTCAGCACATCTCTCATCTTGTGACAGCTTAGATGAAGATGAAGACCAGAGGATGATTCAGCTAATAAATCAGTTCAACTAAACCAGAGTAAAAATCCTTATTCGTACCTCTAGTTGTGGTGAGTTTGATTTCCTCACTGAAGCTGAACGAGAAGAGTCCCTGAAAGCTAAAGAAGAGCTGAAGCTACATCAAAAACAACTAAAGGGCAGTCTAGAGTTAGCTAAGACTCTAGCTGCCTAAGCTCTATCTAAAGGGAATCTCAAGAAGAAAGATCCTCTCAAAGCTCAGGCCTAGTTATTAACTGAAGTTAAATGAAAACATCAACAGGTGCTGAAGTTGAAAGATCAAGATCTGAACTGGTGTAGAGAAAGGATCGATACAAGGATAAGTCCCCACAAGATCTTAAACGTCACCATCAGTGGACGAATGAAGGATAGTGGCCTCCTAGTCTTAATGGTCATTTTCTCAGAGAATCTAGATGATGTGATTGAGTATCCTTCCTACCTTAACAAGTACGACTTCTACGAGTGGCTAGAGATTTGACAAACTATCCAGAAATCAAAATCCAAGCACAAGCCTTATGTTGAAGAAGTCATGAAAGAGTTATTCAACAAGGTGTTGAGGATCATAGAGGTTCCTCATCTGCCAAAGAAGCCGCCCTCTCGAAGAAAATCCCTTTTAGAACCTGATGATGGTCCATCTCACAAGAACGAGCACAAGACAAAATTCTCAGTGGATGAACTTCTCAAGGATCGAAAGAAGCCGAATATCTCAATCTTGAACTTGTCGCTACCTAAGAAGGGTCCTTAGATACCCAACACAGTGCATGTGAAACATGAGTATGGACTTATGTTCATAGACTATGATGTCATTACAGGTTTCAACGAGTATCCAAGTTCCATCTCTGCTCGATAGATCACTTAGAATATCTAAGGACTTGGCTAAATGAAGATCTATTTAGAGAGATGATGGAGCGCAAGATCAGAAAGAAAATGCTCAGACACAAGAAGCTTGGAGAAGATGTCCCTGAGTACATTAACTTCAGCAACTTATATTATACGTCCTTTCAATCTTGTAATCTTCTTTTCTTTTCTTTCAGTGTATAACCTTTATGTATTAGGTCTACCAAACCTAATTGTAATAACTTATAGTATTTTCCCTTGAAAAATATTCAATAAAACTATCAGTTCACTGACAAAGATCCCTGAAAAGAGTAAATGGGACAAGTACGTATGAGTTTTGTTTATGTCTTACATTCACTGACACCTTTCTAGTCAGTGAATATGCTTTCAATTTCAGTTATTAATATTGTGTAAAGTTTATTCTTTCCTTGTAATCCTTTAACATTAAAGTAAAATTTCATAATAAACTGTATTACTGAAAAACCCAAAACAGTTAAAAGGGACAAGTATTTTACTAGTACCTTTTCCTTACTAATGTAACTTAAGCAATTTTCTTTATGTTGCTTTGTCATCAACAAATAGGGGGAGATTGTTGATCCTCTCTCTCAGTGATTTGATAATGATCCCTTTTATCTATCAAAGTGTATTATCTTTGTATTTAGTTTCAACGATCATCACTGAGTCTGTTTAGTGATCGTTGAACATGTATTGTAATTCGTTCAGAAATCAGTATCCTTCAAGAAGACAAAACTCACACCACAGATCCTTCAGGGATGTCGAAGACAAAAACTGAATATTAGAGACCGGCAAGATCGTGATCTAAACCGGTTTTCAATGATAACAAGCTCGTCTACACAAGTGTGAAATCTGCACAAGATTCAGCGAACACTGATGAGACATTCATCGTCATTCCAATGTTTAATGATCAAATGAATCTTGTCAAGCAAGATAGTTTTTGTCTTGTCCTTCTACACACAAGGGACAAACTCATACCTGTCAAAGTAAAGCATTGTATGGAGTCACTTCTTTGTCTTAAAAACATGCTTATCTACTTTATGAAAGAAGACTGTTCATATATGGCCAAAAGGACTGTATACTGCAACAAATGATAAACTTTCCTCTAAAAGCTTGTCCCATGCTTTGTACATTATGATTTGTATTTAATGCAATGGGTATAAATAACTAAGTAGTTCTCTTCTTAGTTATCATCTTCCTCATCTAAATCTTACTTAAGAAGATACCTCTCTCTCTCTCTCTCTACTATATGTCTAGAAGAAAGACCCACTTTAACAAGTGAATAGCACATTATTTCGTATCTTATTTCTTGTAGCAAGTCTTTTCTTATTGATATCTGTAATTTTGTATGTATTTTTGATTGCTTAGATAGGTTTTGTGTCCTATCTCTTCCGCAAACAATCTGTAAGAATTTGTATTGATCTTATTTATCAATATATATTTTTAAAAGTGAAAGTTGTTGTGTTTGTATTCATCCCCCTTCTTCAAACTGTTACCTATAAACTCTTGTAGATCTGACTAGGACTAACACCTCATATCTAGTCTAAGGGGCTGTTTGGCGGTTGCTGAATGGTTTGGTGCAGAATGGTTAAGTGGTCAGAATGGTTAAGAGGACCAGAATGGTTAAGTGTTGAATGAAATAATGTTGTTTGGTAACTGTTCTCTGAACGACAACAAATTACCATTATAACCCTTGTATGATTTAAGTACAAGATTGATTAAATCCAAAATCTCCAAACAAAGAAGGGGCATAACAGAAGCACTGGAAAGAGCAATCAACAAGGGCGATTCCAAAATTGATTAAATCCAAAATTGTTCCAGGGAAGCACGATTCCAAAATCTCCAAACAAACTTGTAATAAATGGGGCGATACGGGCGAAGAACCAGTCCTCGGCGACAAACTTGAAGGATTTGAGGGTTGGTATCATAGATTTTGACCTTATCAATGAGGGTGGCTTGAAGGAGTTGGGACACTTTTTGGGTGGAGGGAGGTTGTTGCCGAGTGTGCCGTAGTTTATTCCAACGACAGAGACGGTGGGAAATGGGAGGAGGAGGAGGATCGGAAGGAAAGAGACGGTGGAGGCGACAACCGGCGAAGCTGTGGAAGGCCGTAGATGGAGACGGTGGAGGTGACAACCGGCAAAGCTGTGGAAGGCCGGAGATGGAGACGGTGAAGGTGACCGGAGATGGAGAGGTGGGTGGAGGTGACAACCGGCGAAGCTGTGGAAGGCTGGAGATGGAGACGGTGAACTCTTGGGCGAAGCTGTGAAGGCCAAGCTGGAAGAGATGAGTGGGAAGGATTGTGAAGGCGACGTGGAAGGAAGGGTAAAGATGGAAGAAATGGTATCTGAATGGTTGAGTGAAGCCCTAGACACAAAATGGTTAAGAGGGTCATGTAACCATTAAGAGGGTTATTTTTTTTTACCAAACAGCCTTTACCTCTTACCGATTAAGAGGTTGGCTCTTAATGTCATCATTAAGAGCCAAACAAACAACCCCTAAATGTTAGAAACTACCACTAACGGTAAGGAAAATGATAGCCAAATATGGTTATAAAGTAAAATTCAAAGAAGTCAACATATCTCTATCATGCAAGGCCCAAAAGTTGAATCGATGATGAACTGCCACCTAAGGCCACCATTCTTGGATACCTCACTATCATATAAAGTCAAACAAATACCTAAATGCCACAACAATAACATATTGTTGTTAAAATTTATTGTAGGGTTAGCTCAACTGATAATAAGATGCTATTTACTTAACGCTTATCCAATAAGTTTATCAGGTCACTACATTACTGGATAAATATAGACAAAGGATTGACAAGAATCATGACAAAGACCAAAAGTTTATCCAGTAAGGGAGGTTGACGACTAGTCAATGATGGCCATGAATTTCTAGTGGTAGTATTTTAATTATCCGAAATATGAGGTGTCTTTTGAAATAAAGTACAAATCCAGGGATGTAAGTGTAACCCGGTTAAACAGTCGGGGGTTTGTAAAATTTGAAAGAGCGTGGGTTTAGATTGATCGGCCAATTGAGTGACACCGGAGAAAGCCGTCTATGGCGGCAACCACAGTTCCTTACCCGTTGACGTTCAACGATTAACAATCTCCAAGCGTTTCATTGCGTTTACCGTTCCCAAATCCAAGAAGATTTTAGGGTTTCAAATTGCAGGAGGGAGAAGAAGAGGCGGGTCGGTAAGTCACTGTGATTCTAGTTTAGTATTGTTTCGGAAGTAGATGATTGAAGCGTAGCTGTTACTGCTCGGATTAGCCTAATTTTTGTAGCCCGTCCTCACTCCAGAAGTCCTCAGACCAACGAATCAGAAGTTCTGAACCATAATAGCTTCACGCGAAATCAAATCAGGCGGATCAAAATCCAGATCGGACTCGTCGCTGCTCAGGTTACCGCTGCCGGCTGCTCGCCACCAGTCTCCTCGCCTTTTGCAGAGGTTTGTCTTGATTGTTTGTCTTGTGCTATTTTTCGGTCGAATCCTTTCTTACACAAAACAGGTTGCTTTGGTACTTGTACATTGTATTTGATTTAAGGTTGTTAATGCTTTGTCTTAATATGTTGTATTTGGGTTTGTTTAAAAGTTGTTTAAATACCCCTATTGACCGATTTCTTCTTTGGATAAGTTGGACCAGTGGATTTCTTGGTCCAGAGATGATTCTTGGTTTTCAACCAGCTTGTTGATTTGTCATTGGATGTCTGCAATGTTTTTCATGTATGGCTTATTGCTCATCGGAGCATCAATCGATTACACTTCCTGTTTTTAATAATTGTCAAGACAGTGTCATTTTGGGTGTTTAAATGATTAGAAAGGGTGATGGTATAATGTTGTCACAAGCATTAACAACTGAACATCATCATAATTCTGGGGTTCATTTGCAGTGTGCTGATTAAGAGTGTGTGTGTGATGGCATTCACTGCGAAGACAGGAAGGAAAGGAAAGAGGAGACAATTTGGGACAATTTTCTGTGTATTCCACTCAATGCAAATGACTTCAATTTAAACATGCTGGGAAAGTGGGTTCATCACCCATGTTCCTTATTTCATGCAACTAACTCCTAACATGCACTAACTTCCCTAACATGATGCAGACTACTT